GGTCATCATCTGTTCTGATCCTTCCTCTTGGCTAAATATAAACATCTGTTGATTCAAAAGCTCATAGGAGGGAACTGTTAGTCTTTGGTAGCTTCCATTTCAGAATCCAGCTGAGATTTCTCTTCTACTGGTACAAACCATTGTGAGGAGAAAAGTGAGAGAGAAACGGGGGGGGGGGAGGGGGAGGGATAAATAATTAGACTATGGTTTCTTAATTTCATTCAAGATGAAGGGGTGGCAAAATGAAACTGGTGACATCTGAATCAGAGGGCAGCTACTTACTGCCTCATCTCTTACCAGATTTTAGAGTATTTCAGGATGAACTTGAATATGATTTCACTGAAATGAGAACAAACAAGGTCAGGAATTTTAATAATTGTTCTTTAGCAACACCTCTGTGTCACTGCTGGAATTTTCTAATCGGACAGCCTAGCTGTGCAATATTCAGTCAGTACGGCATGTTAACCTTAATAAACTTACCTGGGTGTTCAAATCAACCAGATGTGTTGCTGAGTTACTTAATGCTCCTATAATTCCTTGTTCACTACTCTTCTGACTGCTTTATCTTTTTGCCTGCCCGCCTTCCTTCTTGATGGTAGAAAAAGATATTCACACTTACACCAGCCTTCTGGAGAGCCAGCATATTACTGAAGGTATCACCAGTACCTTTGAGCATGACGCACCTAAGCATGTTGTCATGACCCCCCCTCCCATCTTTCTTCCTCTGCAGTGCTGTTTTTTTGCTTGATCTATAGCTGTTCAACCGAAGACAAGTTATGTTCGAATCTGACATGTATTTGTTCCTTCCCATCTGTCTGTTTAATAAACTGAGAATGAATGTTTTGTAACTTTTTGGAGGAGAACTACAACATTTGAGGCCTTCTTTAGACCACATGTGCTATTGTCCATGCTGGAAGAGAAAAGGGAAGATGAGAAATAGTATCTTTAGTGGTACACAGTATTACACGTCGCCTACTTCAGGAGAGGTGTGCGGAATTGTGTATACCAGAAATGAATAATATACTACTTGTGTACCGTCCAGTAAGGTTTTGCAGTGAATAAACAAACTGATAATTAATGGCTTGCTTTTACGCTTCTTTAAAATTAATACGATGTCTTGTTGTGTAAGGTGTGTTCTGCCTGAGTCAGTAATGTCCTGGAATGCCAGACATGGGCAATGTGGATAAATGAAACTGGTCAAGGCCGTAGGTGTTTGATTTCCTCTGGTTTATCTCTTAAGTAGGGCCTCAATGTGTTAGTCTGACCAGGTAGATGCAGGGGAGCAAGTGATGAAGAAGTTGGATTTCAATTTATCCTAGAAGAGGAGATAATAGCTACTTTTATAAACAGTTTGCGGGCTCTTGATCAGGTTGCTTAGAGCGAGATGGTCTGTCTTTGGCTTCTTGGATGTTGCAGTAATGGCCTCCAAGAGCCCTCTCATGCAGACAGTTTGCAAAACATGTCCTTCTCTCTGGTGGAGCTGTTCCCGGGGCTTAGTTTCTGCTCTACTACTTCAGGAAATAAGCAATGCCATAAAGTCTGTGTAAAGCATCAGTGTGCTATTCTGAACAAAGCTTTTGTTTCATTTCTGTATTTTTGCTTTGGTTTAGCTTAATCTCTGTGCAGCTAGAGCGAAAGAGATACAACCATCTCGCTATCCCACTGTTGTCAGAGCAATGTCTTTTGTAGTGGATTTCCCTCAGGAAGCAAACGACGTTGCCAGTCGTCATCTAGTCTTGCATAAGCACCTTTCCCACCCTCCACCCTTTGCCAGATTTGGCGGGACTTGCGACTGCTATGCCAGCCTTCGGCTCCAGCAAGGATCCCCGCTTTGGTATCAGTCTAACTGGATGCTAGTAATTGAGTTTACAAACTGCAGGCTACAGTGTGAAACTGTGGCATCTACTTAAGAGAGGACGTGGCAATATTAAAACACGAGGGTATTCTTAGCGTGCGTAGCTAGTGGCTTTACCGGATGGCTTATCCAGGTTCTGCCTCAGTGATTGCCAGAGAGAATTAAACAATACTGAGCCTGCACATTCCATTGCCTGGCATTAACACCCGTGGTCACTACCTCCTCTGGTGCAGCAGTTGTTAGTGCACCTGCAGTTGCTAGTGCTTTGAATTAAGCAATGAGAGAGTTTTCTTCAAACATGCTTATTAGCTAGAAGAAGTTGTGTTACTTCGTTGGTAAAACCCGTTGCTGTTCAAGAGTTTCTTTCTTTTTTCAGGAGGTAACACTCGTGCCGTAGGTATGATTCTGCAGTATAAGGTACCAGGATCAGAGGAGCTAACGCAGATGAAATTTACAGCCAGTGAAGACTTCAGCTGTAACAAGAAGCTGTCAGCAAGCTGGCTGGCAGCTATGCATAAGGTAAGCAAAGGAGGCAAAACTTAGAAAGCCAAAGAAAATCTTAACGTGGGGTGCTTAGTAGCACTTAAGAGAGCATGCAGCCTTAGGAGTCTCTTTTTTCTTTTTATTATTGTTTTCTATTTAAGGATTTTAGGGCCTTGTTGCTTAAGAAAACAGAAGCTATGGATGGTTGTTAGGAACATGACTCTAGCTTTATGCTCAGATACCCGAAGAAGATATGCACTACAAAGGGTTTCCCAAGATCTTACGTATGTCATTAGGTGAGAAGAAGTAGGAATTAGCCTTTCAGGTTCCTTAGGATTTTGTTACTCACTGAAGAATGTGCATTATGAAATGCTCTTTGGAACCTAAACTCAGCTAATTGTTTTTACTACTTTATGAAGGTTTAAAGTTGATTTTTTGGAAACAGGAACAGGGGTGGGCGCTGGACCCTGTGGAAGGCTGCTCCATCTTTTGTTGTTAGGCACTGTATGGCTAACGAAACTGAAGTCTTATTTCATAAGTCAAAGTTATGTGAGACAAAACCCAAAACCACCCCAACTCATTCCGGAACTCTGTTCATCTGATTGATAATTAGAGCTGTAACTTACAAGCTGACTGCAAATGCAAGTGTGTGGCTGTTTGCTTCTTTATCACTGTTGTTAAGCCCCCCAGCCACCCCTAACCCCACATTTGTGTTCAGCACAGCGCACTCAAACTTTGTATTGCCACACGAGTACGATTTAGCACTTCCTTACAGCTGTCCCAATTCATCTTTCCCAAGCGATGCAACTCCTACAACTGTGGTGAGAACCAGTAGTTTATGGATAAGCGTAACGCCCTCCCCCCACTGATTTGTTGTCTTTGACAGGAGTTTTGGGTAGCTCGGATTTGCGTAACCGATCAGCACAGTGAGACTTCCAGAGGTCCCCGTTAACGGCATGTAAAAGGACTTGTTGGTAGAGAATGCCAACGTGGCATGTGGAATGTCTGTTCCCATCGCAGGGGGTTGGTTGGTTCATGCTATAGTTTGAGAGAAATGAAACACCTCCCCAAAACTTTGCAAGGGGGAAGCAGAAGAGGTAGGAGGAATATAGAACAGAGTAACATTGTTTACGGCGTATGTTTAGACAGATTACCAAAGCCTTAGAAATAGTACTTCTAACTCTTTCAAAGGCAGTTTTAATCAGAAATGGTCACTTCTGACCAAGAAGAAACAAATGTAAGTTGATCTAAAATCTTCAGTGCCCTCAGGTTCTGCACTTAAAGTAACCTTGGATAGTTTGGAAAAAAAAAATTACTGAATGCTGTTAAATGCCTTAGACTAAGGAAAATAGCAGAGGGAGAACTTAAAGCCTTGGGTTTAAAGGAAATTTTTGGAGGGGTAGGAAGGAGATTAGGTGGCTGCAAGTGAAACTTCAGTTAACGCAATGACGTTTTGTCTTCACGTTAGGCAACAAAACTCCTTTATGAGTCCCGGGACCAGTAAGAACAGCAAACTGTTGGCCGCTTGAGGGAAGACACCAGCCGCCATGGACCTGCCTCTCGCTTTTTGCTGTTCTTGACCCTTTCTCATTCCAGTGTGGTTCATTTATGTAAGAACTGGCAAATGCAACGCGAGTATTTTTTTGAACCATGAGTATTCACTATAGTGTGCAATATGTATACAATTAATGCTTTAAACAGCCTCACCTTTTAAGACTTTGTATATTTTGTTAAGCCTTTATTGGCACTTAATATGAAAGTGACCTGCACTACAGCTAATGTACAGCACAACTTTTATAGTAACAATTATATATACTGTTTGCTACAAAAAGCAAACAAACTGTGTTTGTCTCTTCTGCAGAGAATAGCTTTTGGGTATAGATCTCAGGTTTTTCCCTCTATCCAAATGTTTAAAATCAATGTACAATAAAATCTGCCTTAGATATGCTTTTATAGAAGTCACTTGATTTTTTTTTTTTTTTAAACATCTAAATACTTCACCAAGTATCACCAAATTGGACTTACCTGAACATGATCTCAAAACTTTCTTCTGTAATAAATAAGCTTCCAAAATAACTTTTAGTTTTGTATTTTCCTTTTGGTAACTAGCTTTTGTTAATCTAACTGTAATGCTATCTGAAATTGTATACAATTTAATGTACAAATATGAATAAATTAATTCACTTATTTAAAAAAAAGAGGTGATACTTAATTTCACCGTATATAACTTCTTTAATGACGGATACCGTGGTCTCTATTCTCTGAACTCTGAAGCTTTTGACTCTTTATGAACAGCACCCTAATTTTACTTCTAAGTGTCGATAATTGCTTCACCTATTGGGATGAATCCTCCGGCTACACGTGCTGAGCCAAGTGTCTTTCTGCCCTCCGTCCTCCTACGCTGGTAAAGATTGAGTAAACAAGTGCACAGGGCTCAGGTGTCAGCTTGCGTGTAAAGGACCCTTGAGAGCTTTTTCTAGACAAGTATTAATTTGTCACAGTTGGAGTACTAGTCTAAGGAGGTTCCAAAATTGTTTGGCAAGTCTTTTTCTTTGCAGCTGGTAAAACAATGAGGAAACTTGAGTTAACAGATAGAACACGACTATGACTAAAGGCATGTCTACTGTGGCTACCTGTACAAAAATACTGGAGAATGCAGCCATGCCTTAGCAGTACTTTATTGTGCACATTTACATGTTCTCTGAATTAGTGTATCATAGGCTCTTGAAATCATCACATTCATGTAGCAAATTCTTCAACAATAATACCCTTTCACTTTTCACCACAATATATACAGTTAATGCTAACCTGTGGTAAAAGCAAGTTACAGCACTGCAGAAATGGATATATAAATTATACACAGAACTTGTACATGAAGAGTTAATCAAATTGCATACTGTTAAATGGGAGAAAATGACAAGAAATATGGCTAAAACTTAAAATGGGAAATTCAAAATAGACTTTTGGTATATAAAATCATGTACAATTAAAATTCCAGTGAAGTGCCTTTTTTTTTCTTCTCCTTGAAACGGCAATGTAGTGGAATAGGTTATTGCATAACTTGCCTTGGCAACAGCTGTAGGCTGCCAAGAACCACAAAAACTGTCCTCAAATAAGCTATTGCCTTTCTTAAATCCTTCTCTAAACCTTGTTTCTTTCTTGTCCTTGACTTAGCATCTACACACCCCTCTTTCTACTTCTATCCAGTCCTTCATATTTTCTTCTAGACGGACTCAGGCACAGACTTCAAATTACACAGTATAACCCTTACTGGACTCTTACCCTTTTCAACTATTGCACTTTCATCCATGCAGACATACAAATCCCTTAAGCTGCTGCACGTTCAGTACTAACCGTTTTGTCCAGGGTGGACAAGCTCAGGTGGTTAGTAGGGGAACCTTTACATTAGTAGAGGTAACACGTGCTGTAGGCTGAATAATAAGAAAATGAAACACCAAGTGAAATACTGTGTAGGGGGTTTGAGAAGTGTACAAATACTGCTGTTCAGTTAGTTCCCTAGCTTGATGCTAAACGCAAATAATACTAGATGCTAGACTATGTAAAGCTTTTGTTGGGGTTGTCTAGACCAGGATTTAAGTGTATAGCATGTTACTGCTTAAAATCCTAGCCTTCATAAAGCTTTGGTGATTACTTAATGATGCAGGTAATAAGTGAAGACCTTGTGTCCTAGAACCCAAAGAGTTGATCAATAATGAGAACTCAACATTCACTGGTATCAAACGAAATATCCAAAATCCCGATGTGGGACAGTTACTGTGGGGTTGGAGCAAAGTGGACAGCGTATCTGCACTCCGCAAGTGACACCTCTGAACATTTAACACAAGAAAGCTCCTACCATGGAACTTTAACTTAAAACACTGCTTTAGACGATAGTTGGCGCAACACTGTAGATAGTGGAGGTATCGCTCTCCTCATCAGTGGCGGGTCACGTAAAAACGATCCTCATTTACAAACTGCAGATCTTGAAAATCGTGGATGCTGTCCATTTAACAAGAGAAAGCACCATTAAAACTAAATATAGTTTTATTTCTCTGTGTGAAATGATCAAAAATGATGGCTCCAGTGTATGTTTTAAGTTTCCAGTTACCAGCACGGTATTGCACTGTTGTACAACTGAATTCAGGCAAGGGTTCGCTGTCTAGGTTTTATTCGTGGATATAACTGTAAAAGCAGAATAAAAATATTAGGCTTTGCATGGCTGATACCAAGTTAAATATAAATCAATTCAATTATAACCAAGAACTGGGTGATGAAGTGTTTTGGGGGGGTGAGGTTTTTGTAAGCTACAGCATGTTCGTAGGTAACTTCTGAAAAATCAAGCCAGAAGCAGCAGGAGGCCAAGGGCTGACCTATTCCTGCCAACAGCAGCAAAATTGCTGCTCTGAAAATGACTTGGTTCATTTCACTCAAGATCCCAGACTAGACCAAAGGATGCTTTTATACAAGTACAAGAATTCCCTGTCGAGCCCTAGAGAGAGCTTATTTCCTGCTCTGTAAGGTTTTCTTACGCATTTTGTCCTCTGTATCTCTCTACTTCGTAGCTTTTACATTCCTGCTCTCCCATGATAGCAGTGTTCCATTTGACTGAGAGCAGCATCAACGACTTGCCTAAGTTGTCATCTTCAACGCTCTTTCCTGTTTTAAATTTGTACATATCTATATATTGCTTATCTTGTGCCAGGTATTAAAAACCTTCCTAAAGAACTTCCTGGGCCAAAGCTTAGAGCTGCCTCATAGAGCCACCGCACTTGACGTAGGGGCCCTATATTTTAGCCAAGGGGGAAAAAAAAATCTTATTAAAGCATGAAATGTATTAAATATACTAACTTGCCAAATAAAAACGAGCACTAATCTCCTAACCGTAGTCTCCTCTCCTTTTTGTTTACAACGACACAGAGGCCAGAGAGAATAACGATAATCTGCTATGCAGCACTTCATAGTAGTGTATCCAGACGATGCACAGAGGGATTCTGACCAAAGATCCGTCTTGTGTTCCTACTTCAGGAGGAAGTAAAAAAATAGAAGGGAGAAGGGTAACTTAAAAAGAACTTACCCCAAGGAGATTTTTAGGCACATAGCCTTCTTTATCATTGAGGCGGGCCCACCACCACTCTGTTTCGTTGTCATACTATACTAGATGGTAAAATATCCTATTTTTCCCTCTGAGACTTTTAGTATGGACACTGTGGCCCAAATATTAGTCCCTTTATTAATAAAGTTTCACGAACAATTTTCAGCACTTGCATGACTAAATGCTTTCAGAAATTGAACTGCATGATAAACCCAAGTTTTACAGAATATTTTAAACTAATTTAGAGCATGAGGTTTTTCTCTTTTATAATATATGCAATAGAAGCTTTACAATCTTTTATTCCAATGAGGATAAAAATAGTTTTACAAACGTTTGAGCAAAGCAGCTTTATAGAACTGGTGTATATTTCTCACAGGCCTGCTTTCTACAACAGACCTTACACAGTAACACTTGAAGCTTTTGAAAATCTGCACAATGTCAGGTATGTAGAGCCTTAATGAAGCTTCTATCCTCTGATGTAAATTAAAAATTTGTCTGCTCCATCAAGGTACTTTTCTTGCAAAATATATCTTAGTAACCTAAATAGATCTGTAAGTTAATCATTCATAAAGTATACGTGTTTCCTCCTGTGATCTGCTACAAATTTGTGCATCTGGAAGTTGGAGTATCTCTGTCAAAATACTTGACAACTCACTGTTACTGTCAAAACCTCCCCATGGAAGCATTTCCTTGAAATTAAGCCAAATTATAATTTAAGAATCTGTAACATTAGAAGGAGCCTGTGAAGTAACTTAAAGAACAGAAGGACTATGAGCAACACATCCACCGAAAGACTGTTTTGTTTTTAGCGTTTTGAAAGAACAGGTGATGGGCAGTATTGTCACATCTGGGGCCTAAGCAGACGTTTCATGCAGATCAGAGAGACAGAAAGGGACGGATTTTAGAAAAGCTAAAGAAGTCTGTAAAGTAGTGTCACAGCTTACCGTACAAGAACTGGGAACACTGAATATAACCTTCTTCCATCTCTTCACACTTGTCTGCAGCAGTTTCTATATCACTTATAGTTGAAGCAAAAATAGCTGCCCCAGATTCAACCAGTAGTTTACAGAGGTGAACACTATTGCAAGAAGCAGCACAATGCAAGGGTGTCCTGAAATAAAGCAAAAACGCAGACATGAAAAAATAAAATTCCAGGATTCCTAACTATTTTACCTTGCAGTATACAGTTTAGTCTGTCTATTTTTAAAGGAAATTGTTCTTTACAATTATAGTACACATACGCTTGTTCAAAACCTGTCAAGCAACTGGAGTGGATCCCAGGATTTACCTGACTCCAGTAAAGCCAAACATTATAAAATAGACGTTGGCAGAAATGTTGATTTTCATAGCTTACAAAGCTGCTGGACATAAAAGGGTATTTTCCAATATGAAGAAATTTGAAAGGTAAAATAAGGTGAGGGCAAAACAGATCAGCACAGCAAGGTTTCACATCCTCTCCAAACGCTTCAGAAGTGCTACATCTACCTCTAAGGCTAGATTCTTCAAGAACACCAAATCTGTGGTGGGTTATACGAAGATGAAACTTAAACAAATTAACTTTTTTCAGTTGTTATTTACAGTTTAGTTACTTCAGCATGTGAACAAGAAAAGCAACTATACCACTAAGTAAAACCAAAATGTAGTCTACTTTATGATTTAAGTGTGCTTGCACAAGAGTTGAACACAGTGTAATCTTGCATTTGAGTCCGTCACCACCTGGAGTTTAGAAAGTGTTTGTTTGCTGGGGGTAAAGGGGAAGGAAATTGTTCCTAAAACAGGTCTTGACTAAATTTTGAATGTGCATTAAAATGGTGTTTCTCTCAGACGCCAAGTTAAAAATCTTGACACTTACCACCCGTCACTATCTGCTGCATTTACATTTACACCAAAATCAAGCAGGAACTTCACAATGTGGTGATGACCAGCACACACTGCATTATGCAAAGGTGTAATTCCTTCATCATTTGGTTTACTGGGATCATCAACCTATTGAAAACATAAAATAGTTCAGACCTTTTTTTCCCCGAAATATTTAAAGAGCTTGCCACTGTTTAGAAGCTCACCTCATATATGATTCGTTGTACAAGATCAAATTCTCCCTCCAAAGAAGCATCTAAGAGGAGGGCCAACGGATTGAACTTCACTCTCAAACCGTGTCCTGTTCTTTCTGAGTTAGGTTTCTTCAAGTTGGTACGTTTTGTCTGAGTGGAGATTAAGGTTGGAAGGCATCATTTCAGTTGCATAAGTATTACAAATGATTCAGCTAGTTACTTTTTAACTAGATTAAGAATCCCATCCTCCTTAAATGGTAATTAGAACTATGCAAATGTTTCTATTATAAAGTCTCTAAATAAAAGGCTTGATATCTTACTACGTCTTATTCAGTTAAAAAATGAAAAAGCATGCCAATACAATCTTAGAGGCTTCTAATTAAAGGTAATGAGTGCAAGGAACGAAGTACTTAAGTCAATGGTTTTTGAGCACCACAATCTTAATTGTATCTAATATGAGCAGAATATATTTCTGGTGGATTGTCTGAGACACTGTCAAAACTTTTGCTTAGGTTAGAAAGCACAACACAATTCAGCCTGAGTATTAGTCTCTACTCAGAGGAATCTTTGCCTTGAATTAGCAGAAGTATCTGCTGTAGCTCAGTACTGAAAAGTTACGAGTTTTGCTGTGGGAAGGAAAGTACACAGCATGGAACTATTTTATGTGACATTCTAGCTGGCGTTTATCAGAAGAAGCATTCTCGAAATCTGGAACACATTTAAATGTGTTTTGAGAATATTCTGAATCATTCACATGTGTCCTTGTCACTTGCCAGGAAAAAAAAAAATCTATTATTAGTTACAGCTTTTATAGAATGCTTTCAGTCTCTAGCACTGTAAGATCCTTTTTCATTTATGCTCCTATTTAGTACGGCTATTTCAGTTTGGAAAAACCTCTCACAGTATGAAAATATCTGTTGCTAGCATATTCCATTCTCCCACTTGTGCTCATGGATAATGCATACAAGGCCCTGTGCACACTGCAGTCAAATTGTAAGAGGAGCGCAAGGTCCCTACGTGAATCAAAAAGTGGAGATATTCTTTGAAACCAATGTTAAAGTGAGTCCTATCAAGAACTAAGAATAAGATTCAGTTTTCTCCCTATTTTCAATTCTCCATATGCTGTAGATTTTGGTAATGACAAGTATTTAAAAGATTTTGGTGCAGCTGGAGGAGGGACTTTGAAAACAATTCAAACTATGCCACAAGCCCATTAGAAAAACATTTCTGCTAAAACGAGTCAGCTGTGTTGCTGTCAGTGTTGTCAGCCCTGGTCTCGCATCCCTCTGCTGAGGGGAAAAGGAGCGTACTTCTCCCAGAACAGTTATTTCAGATTGCTTGCAAATTAAAAAGCTTCCCACTGCCATAGCTTACCCTTAGTTTCATACAAATAAGTTATCTTTGTAGGCCCAGCGAAATGAAAAGAATATTTTTAATGGAATCTCAGATCCCAGAATTAGTTCTACAACAGGAGTATATCCCCAGAAAGTTCTACAGCCTAAAGTACATCCACAACCTCCTGTTGCCTCTGTGCATATTTTCCTTATTAAATAGCTATATTAGTACAGAAACTAATCCATTAGAATCCTTCTTGGAGCGCCCCCGGTTTTCTTTTCTTTTAGTATCGTGAAACTTGAAGTGCAGACATACCATTTAGCATAAGCTTACCATCTTCCAGTTATGCTTAAACACACAGCTAATTCTACAGTTTGCAAAATTGTCTTCTTGCTTTGTTACTTACTGGAGGAAGTGGAGGAGGAAGAACAGGTGGCAAAGGAGCTTCATCTTCTACTGGAGAACTGACCTCGGGCGTGGGACTGGATGACTGTTCAGTAGAAGGAACTATAGCAGGATTGTTGTTGTTATCTTCAGTTGTCTCAGATGTTTGATTTGTGGTTTCAGTGCTTATCAGTTCCTCAGTAGCAGGAGAAGGTAATTCATTGTCATTGGCATCTGACGAAGGGGGTGGCTCATCAGGAAGAGGAACTGTAGGTTGCACGGAAATAGGTTCTTCAATATTGCCATTGGTACTAGCATTACCATTATCGACATCAGCTAAGATGCCTATGAAGTCCTGTGGATTGCTTGGCTGATAAAAAGGAGCACTTTCTATTCCTCCAGCAAGAGTATTAAAGCGCTGATACAATAATTTTTGTATATTTGGTCCACTTGGGCCTTCTGGTTCAGTGATAGAACTACGCTTCTTTAATGGCCTAGGAGCATTGGCCAATTTTCTTCTCAGAGCTTCAAGGTCAGCATCACTTTGATATCGTAGGGGTGAATGCACAATAGGCGTGAGCTTAGTAGGACTGAGAGGACGAGGAATGTTTTCCACATTGCTATTTTCACTGGATGGTGGAGCATTTTCCAGCTCTTGATCTTTTTCAGAGACCTCAGTCTGAGGCTGAGGTTGTGGCTGTGAGGAAGTCTGGGCAGGCAAAGAACCATGAAGGAATGGCAAGGGTGAGGGAGAAGTTGAACCAGATTGTAATACGGGTTTTCCATAAACTGAAGAAAAGAAAGATGGAAAACAGTGAAGAACTGTTCTCAAATTATGTAATAAAATATTTGCAAATAAACCGCATATGTGTCTGTTGCTACTTGTTTGACACTAATACAGAAAGAAAAAAATCAAATTAATTATATTGGAACCTATCAAAACAGAAATAAATACTCACCTGTTGGTAACTGCGATGCTTCTTACCATTACAAGCGACAAGTAACATCTGGAATGTTTTTCCTCTTTCATGAGGAAACAGTAAGAGGAGAAAAACTCTCCTCTCTAGACACTGTTCTTACAACTTATTTCTGAAAGTATCAGTAGAGTATCCAGACTGTATTGTTCTAATTGCATCTTGTTTTAAATAAAAGGTAACTGAATGTATACTAATGTATCACCCCAAAAATACTTGGGATAATTTTTCTGTCATGCTGCATACATAAAATATCTTTCCTCTTCTCACAGATTTAGACAAGTTTTTCAAACTGATACAGAAAGTAAACTAAGGCAAATAATTAGATCTTAACAGTCTATTTCAAAGGAAAAAAATAAAGCAAAATATATTCTACCTGCTTTTACTGACTTATTTAAGGTATTGTATACAGCTTGTTGATAATTCTTTGGTGGTGTTGCTTGCTGAAGATACATTGAGTAGATGGAACTGGAGTTCACTGTCTGTGGCCCTTTTCTGGGAGACTGAGGTCTTGATCCTTTATCAGCTAGAAAAGGTCTGATTGCCACAGTTAAAGGGAGCTCTGGCCTGCCATCTCCTCCTGGAAACAAGGGGGGACCGGAAGGTTGATACGTAGGGCTGGGAGGTACAGAAATTCTCTGTTGAATCTGTTGTGAAGAACTGGGCTGATGTACATTGCTTGGCGGTGGAAGTGGAACAGGTCTTTGCCGATTTGTTATACTGGTGCCAGGTCTGGGCAGACTGCCATCCTTCCTTCTTTCTAGAGAATTTGTAGAACCTGTTCCTAAGGGAACTGGACTTGGATAGGTCCCATAGTTTTGAGGCAACTGCTTGCTTACACCAGGAATTGTTGGTGGCACCTTCCCCAGGTCAAGACCCTATGTAAGAACAATAAAAAAGTATATACCATTTAATTAAATAAAATACTTGTGAGCAAGAATATTCCTTATTCAACAAAACATACTAATAATCTGTGTGACAGCAAAGGAGTCAAGATAAACCATTTGTGTTCCTTAATCACTAGCTATGATTCTACCTGCATTTACCACAAGACCTCATCATACATCAGACAGGCCACCATTTAAAGGCATCTTCAGCTATAATACATTAATATGAATCCAAAACTATTTGCATACTTTCAAAGCCTGAATAACTTGTTCTAGGTTCTGGATCTCAGTATCTAGTTGATAGTGTACTTGATAATATATAGTGTATAACAGAGTTTACCAAAACTATTTAAAGACAAGGTCCTTATTCTTTAAAGATACAGTCTTAAAGAATTCATAAAGTACTAGAACAACAGTGCAGACAGACACCACCAGTGGACTCACTCAAGGATGGATTTAATGACTTCTTTTGTGAGATTTTTGTGAGAAAAAGAGCGCACTGAAAAAGTGACAAGTACACCAAGGAAAAATAGTAACGAAGATCTGAATTAGAAAAATAGGAAGGTGCGGGAGATGATTAGGAGAGGCACAGGGAGAGAAAAGGGGAGACCAGATATGTAAAAGAACAGGAAGGAGTAGGAACTACTGAAGTTGAAAAAAAAATAATAATAAATTGTAATGTGATAAGAACAGAAAGGAACAGGAGGAATACAATGGTAATTTTCTTTGTGACTTCTAAAATAATCATCAGCAGGGAAACTGAACGTGTATGTATCTCAAGTGAGTTCAGCTATGGAAGCCAAAGGTTCATAATTTCAGCAAAACAGATCTATAAATACATCACAGATGAAACCCACCAGCTTATCAGTACTTCCTAATACTGAAGTTGGCAAAGGCTGGCTGGATATAGTTCCTTGTTTTAAAGCAGTATCCATGCTTGATTCTTTCCAGTCTGTGTTGGAGATCTGAGGGGGTTTTACCACAGGGGTTGAGCTCTGTTTAAGTATTGGCCAATTTCCATCATTAGCTTGAAAACAGACAAAAATACTGTATTTAAGATAATCCACACCACCATTGTAAACAAGCAAAACAACATGTGAAATGGAATAGATTAGATTACAACAGGATTAATTTGATTCCAGAAATGAGATAAATCACTATTAACGTTCGATTCAGAAATCAATACCGAAAGCCCAATCACTGCATATAATATGCTGTTCATTACCCTTTGACATTCAAATTGTATTGAAAAAAAGATGGTTAAAATTTTGGTTTGAGCGTTGCATATTCTATTATTAGAAGGCAAACAAGTTCAGAACAAAAATCCTTACAGAAACACTTCATCAACATATTTCTTTTGGTACTATGTGGAGACATTGTCAAATTATGCTAAACGCTAAGTCTACGTAAGCTCTGAGTGGACTTACTCCAAATTTAAACTATGGTTACTAGATTCATTCACTTATAACAGGAAGTAAAAACTCATTTCAACAATGGGGCGGAACAAAAGCATACATTCCTTTGCTGGAAGTGGCAGTTAACTTACCTTTTGTTTTTCCTCAACATACTCACCTGATTAGAATTGCCCCAGACACTTAATTTTAAAGAAATCTATGAAGTCAGCTGACAACTTCAACTCACAGGGTCAAGATACAAGTCATGGGCTTTTATCTTCATCATATGCAAAAAATCATGCATAGCTGCACATAAACTGAGGCAACAAATCCTTAATGAAGTCCTAGATGCATTGGTACGTTACTTTATTAACTGCATGAGACTATTTAGCTTCTGTTCTCTAAATAAGCAAGAGAGTTTAAGTAGCCTGATAATTAGATCTGGTTTACAGTAACTAACTAGATCCCTGGTTAGAGCCTAAGGCTTTGATTTGCCTTTAAAAGAGTACACTTCATGTTTCTCTTACTCTGAGGAGACCAGAGATCATTTCTCCTTCTCTATTGCCTGTCATTATCTTAGTGGAGCACTTAGCATCAGTAAAGATGACATGTAACATGTAACTAACTTTACTAGAGGATAACAACTAAAATGGAGGGGAGTGTGTGTGTGTGTGTGTGTGTGTGTACGTGTGCAGTTCTACTGAGATTTCTGGACTCCAACAAAATAAAACAAAAAACAGATATTTATAGCATCAGTAAAGATGACATGTAACATGTAACTAACTTTACTAGAGGATAACAACTAAAATGGAGGGGAGTGTGTGTGTGTGTGTGTGTGTGTACGTGTGCAGTTCTACTGAGATTTCTGGACTCCATAGTAAGACAACATCAAACGAAAATCAGGTATTTAATGGCAAAGTTTACCATTTCGTTTCAGTTTTAAGCCCCTAGAAAACAGAATCAGCAAGGCTATTTCTAGAATTCTTTGCTGTCCTTGTCTAGTATAGCAGACAGTCTAAGAATAAACTGCATAGGAACATTCTAATTACAGTGAATCTAACATCATCACTCTACTTTCTATCCATAAGCCTTATCCTCTTTATTGAGTATCCCTTTTCAATGCCCTCCCCCGAAATGACAACCTGAAGACTTCTTGACAATTACCAATGTTTTCACTGTATGAGTGCAAATTCACTCTATTAGCTCATAAACCTATTTATACGCTTGTTAAAATCATATCACTTTTAAGTGAGAAAAAAAAAAGTTATACCTCTGCATTTAAGCTACCATACCAATTATTTTTTAATTATATGTGCCGACCATTTTCTAATATTACACATTATATTGTATTAAACTTTCAAATTCAGATCAACTGTGTTTGAATTCTGAGGGATAATTACTTTGGAGCAAGATTGTTTTTGTGGTTGGTCATTTAAATAGGGCTAACACTTGCATATTTTTACACTGAGAATATAGTATATAGTTCAGAAATCACTTTTCAGACTTGCAAACTGCCAGGAAGTGAAGTAATGAGGCCCAGCTTTAGTGCTGGCAACATCCAAGAACTGGACATGTTGGGTTTTTTGTTTGTTTTTGTTTTTAATCATCTGGTTATCAAGAGCAAGACCAAAAAAGATGACTGTCTAAACACTTTGACCCTAAATAATGGCAAATTTTCCAAGTATGCACTGAATTAACATTTACCGTACAAAATACACAGGATGTTCCATAACTCCAGTAAGGTTACGGTTCAGTGAAACTTTTGTTTTGAAGATCAGTAAAAGGTGTCATATCTGATTCACGCTAAACATGAATGCATCTTTAGCTGTAAGTTTAGCTATTAAGAAAGCACTTACAGAAACAACAGCAAAAATCCCAAAGAATTTAATTATCTTACCTGCAAATACAAACCCACACTCTTGTATTAGAAAGATAGTTATACAAAAACTTTTTGTAATCCTTTGAATTCCAAGTATTAGCATGTTCATCCCCAAATTCCGAGGTAATAGACTGGAAGTAAATTCAGACTCTTTCCCCTCTCTCTACCTTCTCTGTTTCATTCTGCTTAGATAAACATCAGAATGTAACTGTTCCCACCTTCATGTCCTTCATATTACAATCTGGAGGACTTGCCAACTACCATGCATTTTTTATGAGTGCACCTCTCACATACTCCCACAACCCAACCTGAATCTCATGCACTTAACTAAGCTGCTGTTGCAATCTGCAACTGCAGTGCATGGCACCACAGGCTGCGCAATAGGTGCTAAGAGGAGGCAACCAAACAGCGTCTGCCTTCTGCTATCTTTGGTTAGACTGAACAGGTCCCAGACACTCTTGCCCATCTGATGGCAACACCCTTCTGACAAGCCCTCACTAGCTCCTGCTTTCAGCCACCCCGTAGCCATTTCAGCCAACTGGCTTCATTTTCTCCTCCAAATGTACCCTCTTGTCCGCTGCTTGTAAGACTACCTAACACCCAGCGTATTTCAACTCCCACCAGTCCATTTTGTATTTACATAAATAAGACAGTGACATGCAGACACAAAAGGTTTTGTGCATGTTCTCTGATTTTACCTAAAAATTTTTGTAGGTCTGGATCCACGATACTTACTATAGCAACTGAAGTACAAACCAAGTATAACATTTTTGTCCAATGGAAGTCAGCAAGATTCTCGCTATTGACTTGGACAGAGTGAGCTTTTATCCCAACTCTGGGGCCAGTGCAACACGGAAACTCAAAGTTGCCCACAAAGTATCTCAAGCTAAACCTGTATGTAATACATTTATCTCATCTGAGATATACTAAAACATGCTTTGGTGCTTACCATGAATTTTCTAATAACAATTAGAAAATTTTGAGGTTTTTGCAATGAAGAAAACTCATCCCTAATACACTACTCCAGTACTCCAGGGATGAATTTGCTGCAAATCTGTTTCCTTCAAAGATGAAAAGCAACTTCTCAACAATTTTACATTTCAACAGCATCTTCTGCATGCCAGACCACAACACAAAGATGCTGTTTAATATGCATCTGTATGCAAGAGCTCAGATGACCATATTAAAAACTGAGTTCTTAGCTAGCCAGAGATCTACGGACTCACAGTGCTGGGTGTCAAAGAGAGTAGGTGCCAGGCGGATGACATTGTGAACAGCAGACTGAAGAGAAGTGGAAGGTGACAGAATAGGATCCACTATTATGTCTAAATCAGAAACCTTCCAGGTGTCTGGAGATTTTTTCACACACCCACAGTCTGTCTCTACCGGACACACCAAGGCAGATCCAGTTACACAGAAAAAGAAAGAAAAAAAGTGGTGGAAAAATTATAACAATGACAATGGAGAAGTTAGAACAGGAACACTCAGATAATGAGAAATAAAAGCATGACAGTTGAAAAAAATTTCTCAATTTCTTTTCTTCCTGGGAGCATATAAGCTTCTCCTTACATCTGTCTTATAGGACTTTATTCAAGTACAGTCAGAGTAATAAACACAAAGTCAGTCCTAAGGTAGAATAATTACTTTTATAAAATCAGAAAGTTATCAGTCGGAGATCCTGTAACCTCCTAAGGTAGGTCTAGAAGTGGGTATGTATATCTTCTGAGGTTGATATTTACAAAATTGTGAATTATTTTTGGTTGGTGAACTTAAAAGTTATGAGCTGTCCTTTCCCATATGCAGAAGGGGAATCCACATGTCTGAAAACAAAACTATTGCAATCTGTCACTTCACTCCGCAATTGAGTCATTCCATATTCTTAAGACTTTTCCGTAAAACCACAGTGATGGGGTTTGTACAGCCTTTGAATTAAACTAAAGGTATTGTTAAATCACTAGTATCAATGGAAAAGGCTGGGGGGTTTTTAAGTTTTGTTTGGATAGTTTCACTTCCTAACCTTGGGGTTTTGGACGTGGGGGCATTTCTGTCATTCTTTCCTACGGAGATGTTCAGACTGTCTTCCCTCCATCTCTTCCTCCCCATTTGGAAGCATGCTGCAAGCTTTGCTGGAGTATTCAGTGTTCAGTACTGGAATGTATGTAAAAATTGCAGAAGCTATGCTCTAGTGGTCATTTCTTATCTCATTTTTAGATCTCTCCTAGAGACCAGGTAAACTAAGTCCTGTGGTTAGACCCATGGGATCGTGCATTTTTATTTGTATTATGCGCTTTTTCCTAGCTAACCATTTCTTAAGAATTCTGATTTTGCTAAGATGTGAGTAGAGAGGTAAGCTTTGCCAGAATGAGAACTTAAGGCACAAATGTCATGACCTGCTTCCTTCAGTCTCCAGTGTAAATTAAAAAAAAAAAAAAAAATCTATTTTATAATGTAGATGGTATTATTAATTATGGGAGACACGGGAGCCAGTTTTGGACATCAAGTTCTGGGGAGTGCTGTGGAAGGGCAGCTCATTCACTAATGAAGGCAGAAACAAGTAACCAGCATCAATGCTAAGGTTATTCCATTTCAGAAATGCTTCAAGCACCACAAATTCTCGTATCTCAGTTGGAGCAAAAACCTCCCATAGTTATATTCTATTTTCCTATTTAGTCCCCTTCTGAGAAGTAATATTAATTTTACATGTTCACTAGCTTTGTTTTACATGACAAAAAGCAATATACTGTAAGTAGTTGTTTACAATATAGTTTGCCACAAAGTTGATTTCATTATTATATTCAAACACACAAACTAATTGAAAAGCAATTAAAGGCAGAACATAGAATCTGTGAAGGAACATGTGCTCCTTTTAGTGGTGTACCAGCTAGTAAAATTTTAAGGAAAACACTCAAGTCTCCTAAGAAGAATTCATGGAAAGAGGCAAAAGTGCTTCATATCAAATGACTAATGTCCAATTCACAGAATAGTATCAAGACATCTAAAACTTGCCTCTTCCACTACAGAGATTGTGCCGACGCTGGGTCTCCTAAGATTACTCCTTTTCTTTATTACTCCTTTCCAAACCATGTGTATTAATAAACACCACACTTAAGTGCTTACCAGATTTTGATCTTCCATGTGTTGAGCTAGAAGCAATGGTGAGAGACTGTGGTTTAACTGGATCTACTGGTACAGCGTAAGTGCCAGCACTTGGAACTTGGATGTAAGGGCCTACTGCTGCCACCCTTCCTGAAGCACTCAAGGATGACTGGGGTGATGAAGTTCCATTAATACGATTCAACTAAAAAAATCAGACAAATTGAAACGTGAACTTCCATTTAATCTAGGCATTTGTGCATGAACCCGAGGTCTAAATTTAATTATCTAGAACCATGCACTGTAGCTAAGAAACCTTAATAATTAAGTTACCATACTCCATGCTTCTACCCCCCCCCCAAAGGTAGAAAGTACAAATTTTATTCCCTAAAATAAACACCTCAAAAATTAAATTTCTCAGCCACAGCACATACATTTCTTGTAGAAACCTTTATCTGTATACGGTCTCTTTCATTGTGCCTTTCTTAGGCAAATGGGCTAAAATGAGTTCTTAAATGATCAATATGTTTTGGGTTTTTTTAAAAGCAATACCTCAGGCTAGGAACACATATGGAAATCCAGAATTGATCTCCCTAGTCCTTAGACAAATGGTCTACTGTGCAACTGATTTCTTTTCAAAGTTCCAGACAACTATTAAGACTAACTTTATCAGACCATTTATATTTTTATCGATTTTCCATATTGGAAGATCAGTATTTTATAAACCCCAAAGTTTTTATGCTTTCACGCTTTGAAACACAGCCCATAATCACAGTTTCCTTCCTAGAAATATAAACTACTATAATTTTTAATATAGTATGGTCTGTGTCATAAAGAAAAATAAAAGGAAACATACTCTGTCTAACAGTTTTCTGATATTTATGCAAAACCGTAACATAGTTTTAAGAAGCCTGCTACTTTTAAAATAAGTTCTTTAGATATAACTGTATTACTCAGCTAGGAAAAAGTGAGATTCTATGTAGTTTTTATAGGCTCTTGATAAACTAAAGTGTGGCCCTTTTAACAGTTTATCTTACAGGAATGTTTTCTTTTTGACGTGCCTCAACTTTTTTCTTGTATAGTCGTTCACGCAGCTCATTGATTCGCTTGTCCATCATAGCCACCTCCATATTACGTTTGTTTAAGAGTTCTTTCTGCTGCTGAAGCTTAGAGTTCTGCTCCTGGTTAAGCCTATAACGAATCTTAAAAAAAAAAAAAAAAAAAAATTGTT